GTGCCTGACCGCCTTAGTGTGACATTAAGTATCGATTTAGTTGTTCGGTTTTGACCTACCTTTGACCTACCAATAACACAACTAAATCTGGTTTTTATTGTGTCTCTTCATTTCTCCCATACACAGTTAAATCCTGAGTTTGCTGTCCGGCTGCATACCAGTAGAATCTGCTTAGAGAGTTGTGCCAGTTCGCCAGCGGGATACCACATGAACTCATGATTTAATTGCGTAACCTGGCGTCCTTCTCTTGGTAAGCAAGGGTTTCCGAGATGCAAACGGCTGGGTGCGTGGTAGGACAATAAAATAGCAAATAGTAAACAATAAAGTAGTAAGTAGTGAAATAGTAGAATAGCACGGCAGTGAAATAGTAGAATAGCAAACGGGTGGGTCAAAATTGAACTTCAATCGAGATTGATTTATTTAACTTCTGGATTCATTGCCTTCCTTTTCTGCCAGTCAGCCGAGCTGGTATAAGACGGCTTTCCTTGCACGTTGATCCTCATGTGATGTTGCCCAGCGGTACCCATGCAGGGCCCGCATTCCTACCCTGAAGGTGAAGTCTTGGCTGACAGCTTTGGAAGGTGGCTTCCCGGTCAAACGTGCTCATCGGCCAACCACGCAAACACAGGCCTTCGTTGCAGCCATTTCATATCGTGTATTTATGCTTGTCCATACCGAAGACAGAGGCCGCCATTGCCCTGCCCGAGCCAGACAGCAACTTAGATGCAATGTCCGAGTCTGGGGATGTGATGCAAGCTTGTGAGGGCTACTACAGTACAGGCTGTATCTGAATTCTCAACATCTTTGCTTGCCTCGCTGGCGCACAGATTCACGGACTTCGGCCTGCAGCGGCGGATGTCTGTATGATTTGACCATGCTGGAAAAGCATGTTAATTCTTTGTTCATCTGGCTCATGCATGCCATACGAGGTGAGGACGACATGTCCCGACAAAGTTCGTCCTTTGAATTTCAATGAGGACGTGGCAGCATTCAACACCGTTTCACCTAGTAGCACTATGTATCGGTAGCCATCAAAACAGTCTCTTCACAGCAGCCAGCTAGCCTGTGCAATGCCAATACTCAGAGCTCCAGACTTCATTCTCGAATCCTGTGCTAATTACAGGGGGCGCTCCCTGGTTAGAGAGCAGGTGTCCGAGTGCAAATGACGTGCGCTCATTGCTTAGCAGTCCGCTTGGACCATGTCGCGTTGGGAGACCATTGAATCATTGCATCAGTTGCATCTTTTGCGGTTTCGGATGCTCCCGAACAAGCCGCTGTATGTCTTGATCCCTGGCAATCAATATTTCCGGCTAGGCGCAGATGGCTGCAGCCGATATATGGCTAGAACCTGGGCAAGATCCACAGTCTGCGGCGCCCTCGGTGTTGATGCCTGGTGTGCATTGAGCACAGAGAACGAGTTCAGAGATCTTCAGTTTGTCGTGATTCCTTCCTGGTGCCAAAAAATACAAGACCCATCATGTGAGCCTCAAACAAGCCATGCAACTCTGCAACATGGCACCTTTCCACCTCAACATCCTGAATATGTATGCAAGTGTGGAGTCAAGTGTGGCATTTTGGGCATCCTGGCGGTCTGCGGGCGCCTGAGTGAAACCAGCAACGTCATGTTAACAACATCGAGCCTGCACTGAAGATCTGGATCTGTACAGTGGTGAAAAGAAAGTTGGGCAAGAAGTCAGCTGATGAGCGTCTTACACATGCTGGGCGTGCTGTTTTATACCTTTTAAACTAGCTGCCGCCATCTTCGAGTTCGCGCGCAGGCCGGAGGGCGAGATGGGACACAACACGTGTGCTATAGACATGCACGCGACTACAGGTACTGAGGTACTGGTGCTCACTCTTTGCCTCCTTGAGTGATGTATTCAGGAGTATTGAGACCTTTGAGGGTTGAAGATGTAACAACGGCTCGAAAAGCAGTTTCATCGAATCAGGCCGGCTGGCCCACATTGAAGGCAGGGGCTTCCAACAATTTTTCCGTCAAGCTTCAATCATACCCAGACCGGCTTTTCAATAAATTCAAAACATATCAGAACATGAATGAGGTCACAGAGACGTGCGTGTGCCAGCAATCGTCTGGACTGAAGTCTTCCTCATTCTGGCGCGACGGTTGAAACATCGAAGCTTTTGCAGTTTGGCCGGTCCAGCTTTTCCTCGCCTGGTGGTTGGGAAAAACTTGGCTATTATATCGTTGCCATAGCGCCTGGCTGCTCTCCATTTGAGCACCTGGCTGCTCTATTTGCACCCGCCCGCGAAGTAGGGATCGCTATTCGTTATACCGTGCCGGCTCATCCGCGCGGAGCCCCAGCAATGGATTCCGTATGAACCAACATCCTTATTTAACTATGCATTGAGCTTGGCAGGCTTTGGGAGTGCATACACCATTACACGATCAGCTCAACATCTGTAGTCTGTAATCGTCGTTTTGCCATTGTGGTGCACATTCCTTGATTCAAACTGGCCTTGGAGTTGTTTTTGCCACCCTGGGAGACAGCCTTTAGTCTATGCCCGGCGAAACACAAGAGAGAACAACCAGAAAGAGGAGGAGGAGACGGAGGAGGAAGAGGCGGAGGCCGAGGAGTAGGAAGCGGAGGAGGAGGAGGAAGAGGCGGAGGCGGAGGCGGAGGCGGAGGCGGAGGCGGAGGCGGAGGAGGAGGAGGAGAAGGAGAAGGAGCAGAAGCAGGAGCAGCAGCAAGAGGAGCAGCAGAAGGAGAAGGAATACGCAGAAAAGGGTGAAAACGGTGATTGAGCACCAAACTGTTAAAACCCATACCCAGGCAGTACTCCAGAAGAGGCCACACCGCGTTGGCAGCAGGATTTGGGAGTCGAAATCGATCCGACTCTTGGAGCGAAGAAGCATGGGTGACGACCTTGGCTTGCACGGCACTGTGGCGGGAACTGGATTGCGGGACATGGCAACGCGCTGACGAGCGCTGTGTTTCAAGCTTACACTGCGATACACCTGAAAACGGCAGAGTTTTTGAGAGCATACCAGGGGTTGTGGCGACTTGGAGCTATTTGCAGGCCGAATGGGCACGGGACTCCGGTAGTACGATTCGGTTCGAAACCTTCCGAAGCATAGCAGCACGCGCACGGCACGTGGAGAAAGCACTGGGGTGAACTTGATTTTAGTCGAACATGTGCACCACGAGTCACGGAGCTATAGTATCACTCTGTTCGGGGAGCCATTGCCATACGTCCTCTGCTAAGGCGGTCGACAAATTAGCCGAGAGCATGGCAACTTCCGAGAAGGCAGGGTGGGGACCCATGCCGGCATAAAGAGCAAAGGAGGGTGGGTCGTCAGTGGTCCCGGAAACTGAGCGGTGTTCGTTCTTATCTGTAATCTTACTTTAAGTTGGCTGCTTGTGTGCTTGCATGTTTTGGTAGCTGCTTTCCTTCCTAGCTTTGCACGGCCCTGCGCTGCCGCTATTGGGGCCCGGGCTTATCCTGAAGCAAGAAGATCCTTGAGCTTTCGTTGTGTTCAATCTGCCATCATTTCGCATCCCATGTACACCACTTGCTACACTACTCGCCGTCGTGCGTCGTTTCAGTGTCGCGGCACTCTTTCACGCAGCACGAGGCCCAAGGCCGGGCCACTTTTCACTTGCGGCCACTCACGCTGCAACTCACCCCGCACGAATGCATCTGAGCTTCATGTCACTCTCACGACCGCTCAGTGTGATTCAACATCTATCCGAGGTGTCAGGACCGTGCTATCGGCAAACAGCGTCGCGTGTGATAGCATTCCCGGAAAAGCACAGCCACTGCGATGGTGACGACAACGATGCTGATACTGTTGACGATGATGGTGGTAATGATGGCGAAAGCGGCGATGGTGGCAAGGACGACTCTGGTGTTCTTGTTGCTGGTGTTGCTACTGCTGTTCTTGCTGCTGTTGTTGTTGCTGTTGCTGTTGCTGTAGCTGTTGTTGTTGCTGCTGCTGTTGCTGTTGCTGTTGCTGTCGCTGTTGCTGTTGCTGTTGCTGTTGCTACTGTTGTTGTTGTTGTTGTTGCTGCTGCTGGGTGGCGCAGAGCCGCAACATGAGGGAGCTAGCCGAGACTGCAGCTCACTTCTCTCAAGCCCCCGGGAGCATGCGGCACTTCTACCTCCCTGGCTTGGCTCGCGCTCCCATCCCCAATAGCATCTTCCAGACATACATCCACGACAGCACGAAAGAACCCAGGGAGATGTGTGCAACGAAGTTTGCGACTATGCAGCGCCAGTTCTGTGACGATGCTTTCCTGCGTCAAACAGTACACTCTTGGGCAGGGACCTATGGGCTCCGACTTCTGGATCGGTTGAAATCCCCCGCTCACCGTGCCGATGTCTTTAGGTATGTTTACCATTATCAACATGGAGGCATGTACCTGGACATCAAGTGCGCTTTCGTCCGACCTTGGACGGAAGTCCTGACACTTCTTGCGGCAGAGTGGGGCGCAGCCCAAGTTAGCGCAGCCAGTGCGCTGGGGTACAACCCAACGGTGGCAGGTACTCTTCCACATGAGTACCTGGTGATGGCCATTGGTGTCAAGCAGGACCATATCTTTCAGGGCATCATCTACGGCAAGCCGGGCCATCCTCTCATGAAGATGGCTATCAAGCACGCCTTCGGCGGCCGCGTCAGAACCGCAATTGCCAATTTGGAATATATGATATTCTGCAAGTACCTTTGGGCTACGCTCGAGGCCGACATGGGCCAATGTCCCAAAGTTGGGTGGAACCTTTCTACCACGTACGGCCCGGTCTATCTGTTTCAAGAGAAGCACGATGTATGGCACAGGAAGTACGGAAGTCCCCCGAATGAGGGACATCACTTCGTCACGGCCAGCAATGTGCTGGTGGCATACACACGCTGCTGGGGCTGGCGCAAGGGCTTCCCTGACGATCCGGACACAAAGTCTCGCACCAACTCGCAAATCCTGGCACATATGCCTGCTGCGGTTGCGGAGGCTACTGCATTGGATTCGTCGGGGCACAGCCCTGGGACGGAAGGTGCGGCACAGCCCAGGGACCGCGCTGGAGTCCCTTCGAGAAATCAGATTGCCGAGCACGTGGAGCAGAGCCTTCACGACAACTTTGCCACGATCATGGAGATTGTGTCGGCATCGTCTTATTACAGAGGCGATCTCTCGGAGCAGGACGTTCTGGAACTCATTCCTCGCGGACTGGCAGTGTCGAACGATCCGAGCAAGCCGGATCATCTAGGATGCCGTTTTTGTGAGAGAAAGGGTTTCTTTGTCACCTTTCCCACGGGGGGCGGCATTAAACCGCACTTTCGCCACAATCGCCATAATGCCACAAATGTGCCGGTGGAGCCGGAGCACCTACCGAGCAGCGCTTATGCGATTCAGGTGCGCCAACATCCGTCTATCCCAGCACCTCCCCCCCCCACTCCGGCTATGGTGACTGAAGCTCGTCTGGCACGCCTCCCGCCAAAGCCAAAAGGGGCTGGATTTGCACCACCCACACCTCCCACAGATCCCTTCGCGGGGACTGCTGACCCAGCACCCACTACTACATCGGCTAAGGCGGCTCCAAAAGCGGCCGCTGTCTCTCCAGCTCCCCCAGCAGCCATACCAGTCAGCACGGCTCCACCACAAAGACCCACGTCTCCCCCACCTCAGGCCGAGACCTCACCTACTGCGTCGGGATCCACTCCTTCGCCAGCTGCGGTGAGACTCCCCCAGTTCGGACCCCCAGTTGAGGGTACGGCCATGGTGCCATATGTGGCCCAAGATCCCCCCCCAACGGTGAAACCACCCACATGACGAGAGAGGACATCTTGAGTGAGCTAGAATCGCCGGCTTTGCAGCGGTGGATACTGGCGATTGCCAACTTTCAGGTGCTTGGTTCACCAACAGTGATTGGGGGCCTCACACCGCAGGAGCAGCGACCTTTGTGGCAGTCCCGCATTGAAGCACTGGCACATGTTCCTCGCCTTTTCCCCATTGACGAGGTTCGCACAGAAAAAGGCCTGACATGGGATCTGGCAATGACGGTTCGGCCAGTGCTGACAGCGGAGGGGAAGATCACGGTGGCGACAGGGTATGGCCAGGACTACTACGAGATGGCCACTCCGACTAAGGTACATGGCCTCATCAGCGCCTTGTTTCAGCGCATGTGGACGCACCATGCCGAGTTCAAGCTCCTGTGCCAGAACTGGGATCACTATGATCTCATCTGCACCACCATCATCACTTACTACAACCACGCAGCTGGAATGGCAGGGCTTGCTTCTCGTATGATCAGGCGACGTTGGCCTGCTCTGGGCATACGCATTGTCCACGATGCAGCCACTCCGTTTCGCCCAGGAGCTTATGACTTTGACCGTCAAAAGCGGGCGTACCAAAACTGGTGGTACCATGCTCGAGCCAAGCGCCACAAAGACAAGCCCTCCTCTTCTTCCCGGGACCGAGGCCCAGACACTGGCCATGATCAGAGCCACAATTATGACGAGTGGCCTTCTTGGGAATGGGACAGTGCATGGACCTGGGAAGCACTCCCACGGCAGTGGTCCTGGGGCGAAGAAGAAGAGGAGTACGCCGAGGAGGACTACTACGACTCCTGGCATGGCCAAAGCTCGGACAACTGGCGTTGAGAGGCACAGCCTAAAACAAACGAGGCACAGCCTGCTGCCGCAAGGCCACCGATGCTATTCATCGGTGCTGCCACACCGCCTGTGGTTTTCTTCCCCCTCGCACAACAAGCGGGACGGACGACGCACCTTCTTCTCATTGCAGCGCAAAACACTGTGCGTGCGCAAAGAGTTGCATTCTTGCAGTTGTGTGCTGCACTCATCATTGAGAGAGCTGGGAGGTACTATGGTAGCCGACTTCTTCACGCGCTCAGGAGAAGGTAGCTCTTTGGCATAGGTGTATGCGGCAGTTCAGGTTTTCCAGGTGCGGTTACCGCATGTGTTCGTGCCGTGCCTCGCAGTAGTACCCGTCCCTACGGCCCATCGCCTTCGATTGTGAGTGACCAAGTGTGGGACGCCACTAGACTGGCACTCCGGGAGACGGCTTGAGGCGGCTTGCTGCCCCAAGTACGACCCAGCAATCGTTGGTTCGTGAGTATCGGACGCGATGGCTCACACTGAGGGTGTCGGGGGTTGTACCATGCTTCTCACTCGGTAGACAACCAATGTATTTCAACAACGGACCTGCCGCTCCGTTCTTCACGGTACGTCATGTCAACTTCGGACAAACAAGTTTGTAGCACAGAGTCAGCTTATCCCTGTT